AAATTACCCCCAAATTTAGCAGCTTAGCAGTTTAACAAAACAACAGTCTCTGTGGATCAACAATCTGGGCCCAGCTTCCTGGGTCCCTGGCCCAGGTCTCCCCAAGGCTGCCACCAGCATGGGCCGGCTGCTGTCTCATCTGAAGGCCCAGCTGAGGGCAGGGCTGCTCCCGTGCTGTCGGCAGGACTCAGCCCCTCCCCGGCTGGCGGACGGAGGCCTCTCTTGGTCCCTTTCAAGTGGGCCTCCCCAAAAAGCAACTCACAACCTGCAGGCAGCTTTACCAGGGCAGGCAAAGGTGGGGGTTTGCGGGGAAAGTCCAGGTGAGAGGGCAATCGCAGTCCTTTGCAACTTAGCCTCAGAAGGGACCTCCGGTGGCTTTGTGGCACTCCATTCATTACAGTGAGTCCTGGGTCCGGCCCACACACAAGGTGAGGGGATTGCACAGGGCGTGAAGAGCAGGTGTGAATACCACTGCGAGCCGTGTCAGGGCTCTGCCGCATGAAGGCAGGGCCCCTATGCAAGAATGCCCACGGCCACGTCACCGTGTCCCTCTGCTCCGCTGCTCCTCCACCTCCAAGCTGGCCGGGCCCCGAGGGCACAGACTGGATCTGGGGCGGGGGGAGCCAGTGTGCTCAGGGCAACCTGCAACCACTGGGACCAGAGTGTGTAGACGAACCCCTGACCTCTGTCCTGTGCATGATACATAATTCTCCATGGGATCCTCAGTGGGGCTGAGTCACCGCGCCCACAGCGGTGACCAGCGCACCCAGGCCCTCTCCGCTGTTTCTGGACTCTTCCCCACGGTGGTGGCCAGCTTCCAAGATGCCCCCTGATGGGCCTCACTGCCTGGCCGTCACCCCCTGCGCTGTCTCCCCCCGCACCCGCGCGGCCGAGTGCTGACAGCAGAGCGAGGCGCAGGTGCTGGTGTGATGCCCGAGGCCGGGCCGTGAGAGGCGGAGCGGGTCCTCCCTCGCCTTGGGACTCTCACGCCGTGGAGCAGACGCTCAGCGTCCTGCTGGGAGGAACGGAGGCCTCCTGCTAACGGCCACACGCGTGAGCCCGGAAACATCCTCCAGCCCCAGGCGCGCCTTCGGGTGACAGCAGCCCCGGCCAATAAGTGACGGCAACCTCGAGAGACACCTGGCCTGGCCACCCAGCCAAGCCACTTGCAGATTCCTGGCTCACCAAGAAGGGTGCATAAAAGATGACCGTTATTTTACGCCACCAGCTCACAGGGGTGGGGGGTGGGACGTAGCAACAGACTGTAGTGAGACTGCCCCACTCTTCCTGCTGCCCCCTCCCGCTCCCTGAGAGCACCCCTGCACCAGCTGCCTGCGCCCAGGCCCTGTCCCAATTCTGCCTTCAGGGGAACCCAGACCAGCACGGGTTTGACAGTGGAAACTTAGGGACAAGCTAATGTCCAACCTCCGGATAAACTGTGGTGCCATCAGTGAACACGAGGGAGCAAGAACGAGCTCAATCAGCCGAGAGAGCCCCCGAGTCCTCCCACGAGCCGGAAAGAAGCCGGTTGCAGAAGGAGGCAGGCAGTGGGACACTCTTCATAAAAAGTCCCCAACACAAAGCGCAGTCTGCGGAAAGGTGTGTGCACACAAACGCGAGTGGCAACAGACGTCCAGAAGCATTCGGGAGACGAGCAGGTGCCCGAGGCAGGGCAGTGGGCACTTCTGGGCACACAAGGGAGGAGCGCTGGGCTGGAAGGGACACGCGGAGCCGCCGCAGTTCATTTCTTTGTGAAGAATTGAAGCAAATGGGGAGATGAAGCTTGCTGGAGAGCACAGAGGTGTGATACAAAGGGACTCGGAGGTTCTTATTCCACGTCGGGCGCTGGTTCCGGGCCTACCAGAGGGACGCCTGACCTTGTTCTTGCTGTTGTGCTCAGAAGCATGAAGCCTCGCGTATCCCCAAACCGTCCCTGTTCCCTAAAGCCACAGTGCACGGTTTCTGCCCCTGACCTCCTCGCCAGGCTCAGGGCAGAGCCCAGCTCAGTCCCCCCAGAAATGCTGCCGAGGCCTTGGTGGGGGCAGGAAAGAGGCCCAGCACAGGCGCGCAGGCCCCTCTGCCCGAGAGCTGTCACCTCCCCTCCACACTTGCTGTTTCCACGGCGCCCAACGCCATTAGTTACCACAACTCTCCTAAGTAGGTCACGGCGATTATCTCCCTTTTAGGGATAATAATCATCATCGTCGCTGTGCGGCCGCAGGCTGGTATTTAGTGTCCTGCCGTTCTCAGAACTGCTTGGACACCTGACAGCCCCGCCGGCAGGGAGCCTTTCAGGGTGGCCTGGGCCAGCGTTCTCTCTCGTTTTCCCGAAGGAACAGAGGTTCAGAGAGGGTAAGTGACTCCACCACCCCGCCCAGGGGGAGGTGGCCTCTGAGTAGGGGATGAGTCCCACGCAGCCACTGTGCGCTTGGTGTCCTCTGTGCCCAGGCCCTGGTGTCAGCACTTCCTGCCACCCCCTTCCTTCAAGGAACGTTTCCCCTGTCCTTCAACATGGTCTTGGGGGCGCTGCCAGGCCCAGCTCACGGCCTCCCTCCCTGCAGCGGTGGGCAGCCAGCTGAAATGGGAACATGCGCCACATTTTCCAAACACCACATTTTCCAAAAAGCTATAAATTCAGTCGTGCAGTTAGAAGTAGAAAAACAAAACCTGAACATCAGAGTGTCACAGTGGGCCACAAGATAAATTCAAGTCAGCAAGATAACAAAGAAAGAGACACGAGTGTGCAGAGGCTCAAATTGGGAACAAAGTGTGTGGGGACAAACTATTCTTATTCTGTACCCCACAGTTTCCAGAGAGGAGGACCGGCCAGTGAAGAGCAATAAAAATGCCCTGAGTGCTGAAGCGAGGACCTGGAGGAACCTCAGGGGGGCCGCAGGCTTGTGACCTAGAGCAGAGAAAACCAGAGCCTCCTCAGGGGGCCCCTTCAGGGCTGTGCCCTGGGGTCCTCACTGTGGCCAGACCTGTGCACAGCCGCCACCTGTCCCCAGGGGGCTCAGCATGTCCTATCTACCAGGAAAACTGAGACCCACAAGCTTGCCCACAGGCCCCATTACTGGTTCAGGGGCTCCAGGGACTTGAACCCAACAGTCCCACGCCGGCGCCCCTGTCCCTCCCCGCTGCTCCTCCCTGCCACCTGGGCTCACCCTTCCCCGCCTGCCCACTACTGTCTACCGGGTCCTAAGCCTGGGGGCTGTGGCGGGCCCTGCTGTGCACCGGCCACGGAGCCACACGACCCTCAGCGTCCTGCTCCCCCCCTGCCCAGCCCCCCAGGCTGCTTCCATTCCCGCAGTCAGAGTGATCCTGGAGAGGGCAGAGTCATCCCTCCTCTGCACAAAACCCTCCCCGGGCTGCCTCTCCCTCAGGTGAGGCCAGACAGAGGCCTCTTGTGGCCCCACGGTCACTCTGGGCTGGTGGCAAACCTGTGCTCCTTGCTCCTGTCACTCCTAACACGCATGGTCCTGCCTCAGAGCCGTTGCTTTGGCTGTTCCCTGCCCTGCGATGCTTTTCCACCAGCCCCACAGAGCTTGCTCCCTCACCTGCTTCCGGTTTTGCTCCAATGCCACCCTATGGGTGAGCCCTCCCGTCCGCCCTGCTGCGGGTGGGAGGAGAAGCAGCCAGCTTGGGGGCCACCATCGGGTACCCTGAGACATGGCCTCGTGCTGCTCTCGTGCTCTGGCCCTGTGTGCAGTCGGGGCACCCTCTAGCCCAGGTGCCCTGGACCCATGAAGACCCCCCAGAACAAGCTCCTAGAAGTAGACCGCAAACTCCACAGCACACAGAGATGACAACAAAACATTTTTCACCTGTCCCGTGAAGCTGGGCTTGGAGGGGCTTCCAGGGGCCTCCCTGTCTTCCCGTTTTCCTGGTTTCCCCGTTTTCCTGGTCTCCCCTTGTCTCCTGACTTGACCTTGGGTTTCTCCACCCTCCCAGGGCCCCAAGTCACTGAGCTCCAGGCTTTTCCGAGGAGGGGGCTCCAAGGGCTCCGGCCTTGCAGGGTGCAGCGCCCATTGCTGGCGCGGCCCCCTGGCGGGTTGGGTCAGGCTGTGATCGTGCACTCGGGGTCCATGTCTCTTACTCGGGGTTAACGTCGGCCCTACCCTCCCCACGCCACTAGGTCCCCGTGTGTCTGTGCGACCTAGGTGCCTGCATGAGTGCACATCTCTGCTCGTGGAGGGTGTCTGGGGCCCAGGTGGGTGCGTGTCCACACAGGGACAGGGCACACGCATGTGCTGGGCACGGGAGGGAGGCCGCAGGCCTGCCCCTGGCAAACAGCACCCTGGGAGGAGCAGGGCCGGGGCTGGGGCCTGGTTGCAGGTCTGAGACCCAAATCCCGGGTCTGGAGGCGAGAGGGAGCTCTCAGGACCCGGGAAGGAGCTCACACTCCAGAAAAGCCCGAGTGCCTGGGCCAGACTCCTGGGGGTGGGGGTGGTCCTCGGGGGATGGGGACAAGGCCAGAGGCCACTGGGCGGGCCAGAGAGTCCTTGAGAGCGGGCGGCCAGGGTGCCCACAGGCAGCAGGTGGGCCGAGGCCTTTGGCAGGCTGAACGCCACCTGGAGCCTGGGCTGAGGGCGTGATGGCATGGGAGAAGGAAGGTGGTCAGCGAGTGGGAGGACGGGCAGAGCTGCCACTGCCGGGCACGCCAGGGCGCGGGGCTGCGGTTCGCCCACAGGACGCCCTGGCGTGAAGCAGGAAAAGCGCCCCTCCGCGGCTGTGGCCTAACCGCGCAGGGCGGGCCGGATTTCAGCAGCGCTGCCCCTCTGCAGGACGCCACGTCCCCGGGTGGCAGGTATGCACACGCCGTGGCACGGGTGAGCCTTGGCAATGTGGAGTGAAGGGAAGAAAGCGGCCACGTGTCCTGCGACTCCACGCGTGTGGAACGCCAGGGTGGGGGAACACATGGGACAGAGGGCGGGTGGGGGTGCCAGGTGGGGGAGGGAAGGGACAGGAGTGACAGCGGATGGGAACGGGGCTTCCTTTGGGGTGACGAACATGTTCCGGAACTAGATACTGGCGATGGTCGCTCAACACGGCGAAGGTACTTAACACCACTGGGTTGTTTACTTCAGAACTGTTCATTTTATGTTGTCTGAACTTTACCTCAATTAAAAAAAATCAAGAAAGCAAGTGAGCGCGGCCACGCAGCTGCACGGCCCACTGCAGACCAGGCAGGGCGAGTTCGGAGCAGTCCCCGCTGCGCACAGAGCACGGCCGAGCCAGCCCCTCCCTGGGGTCCCGGAGGAGGCCGAGTGGCTCCGGCTGGGCTCAGGCTCTGAGCTGATTTGCTTGTCCCCACCCTGCAGGACTGTGTCCCCGCTGTGCGTCAGCGCTGGCAGGGCTGTGGGTGCCAGTCGAGGAGGCCCTGGCGGAGCTCCGGGCAGAGGAAGGGCCACGGTCGGCAGGGCTGCATGCAGACGGACGGACAGACGGACAGGTGGCGCTCTGGCCCAGCAGGCCCGGCACGAAGCCCCAGCTCTGTGGCCCTGAACTGCCACCTCCTCACGAGGAAATGGAGCCAACCCTCCCACCGGTGGGAGAGTGAAGCCAGAAAACACGCTAAGAGGCAGGTGCAGGCGGGCGTGCAGGGCGGTGTCCCGCTGTCCTGGCTGCCTTTGGTTATTTTCCACAAGCAGCGGGAAAACAGGGCCCGAGTGCCCGGAACAGCACCGGAGCCCAGCCATGCAAACAGAGGCTTGAAAATACGGCCAGGAAAGATCAGCTTCCCTGTGCTCGCACTTGGCCTCAGGTGTACTGACGGGCGGACGCCGGCGCGAGGGGCGGGAGGGGACGGGAAAGGGCTGGGGACGCTCTGCTCCGCGCTGTCCTCGTCCCCAGGCACGCCCGCACGTTTCCAAGCCCTGCTCCAGGCAGTCTGGCAGCTGCTGCCTTTCCCTTAACGTGGCAGGCTCGAATGGGAGCCTGGGGGAGAGAGGCGGGGGCAGAGAGGAAAACAAGGCTGGCGTGTTGGCAGCTGGCAGAGCCACCGCTCCACTGTGGCAGGAAGTTGAGGACGCCAGAGTCAGGACGAGGTGAGGGCAGGCTGCACCCCAGGCCCCTGGCTGGCCCCCGCCCCGCCCCAGGAGGCCAGTCTGCCCGGACCCCTCAGCCCACTGCCTGCTGATGGCAGGGACTGCGGGACGCGATGAGGTTGGGGGCTTCTCCAGCCGCTCCCTGCGGGCGAGGGCTGGGCGTGGCTGCGGCCCCCGCTGAAGGAGGTCCCTCTCCTGACAGCAGCAGCACCCTGAGTTCCAGCATCTCTCCCTCCCTTTGCCCTTCAGGCCTGAGGATGGTGACAGCTCCCACGGTTGCCAGCCCAGGGCTTCGCTGAGTCCTGTGTTGCCTTGACGGGGCCCCCCAAGGCATCTTTCACGGAAGTCTCCTGCTTACCTGTCTCATGCCACCTGTTTCCGGCCAGGACACTGACTGCTACCCCAAATAGTGGCCAGGCAGGTAAGGGTTGGCTGCCTGGGAGAGCGGCTACCTTTGGGCCCTACTGCCAGGTTCAGCTGGGCAATCCTGGGCCTGCCTCCCACCAGGCACAAAGTCTTTGAGGAGGGTGGCCAATGACTAACCTAAACAGTGACACTGGGGCCAGGGCTGACATCTGTTGAGGACCTACATGTCTTCTGTCATCTTATGTATGTGTGCTTACTTTTCCCAAATACCTGAGAAGAGGCCACCACTGTCAATCCCATTTTCTAGATGAAGAGACTAAGGATCCGAGAGGCTGTAGGACTTGCTCAGGGTCTGGAAGATAAGAAGCTTCAAAGCCAGGCTTGGACCCATGTCTCAATCTCCCAACCCCAAGCTGCCCCTAAGGAAGTCCAGAGTCATGGGCAGTGCCATCGTGTAAGTGTGTCCCCCCAAATTTCATGAGTTGTCCCCAAAGTGGCAATATTGAAAAGTGGAGCCTTTAACAGGTAATTAGATCATGGGGGCTCTGCCCTGACAAATGTATTAACCCATTCATCAATTCATCATTAATCAAATTCATCAGCTAACGTATTAACGAGCCATGATGGGGAGGGAGCTGTTGGCTTTACATTAAGAGGAAGAAGACCGGGAGCAGTGGCTCACGTCTGTAATCCTAGCACTCTGGGAGGCCAAGGCAGGTGGATCGCTCAAGGTCAGGAGTTCAAAACCAGCCTGAGCAAGAGAGAGACCCCCGTCTCTACTAAAAATAGAAAGAAATTAATTGGCCAACTAATATATATATAGAAAAAATAAGTCGGGCGTGGTGGCGCATGCCTGTAGTCCCAGCTACTCGGGAGCCTGAGGCAGTAGGATTGCTCGAGCCCAGGAGTTTGAGGTTGCTGTGAGCTAGGCTGACGCCACGGCACTCACTCTAGCCTGGGCAACAAAGTGAGACTCTGTCTCAAAAAAAATAAAAGTGGAAGAGACATGAGCATACTCAGCCCCTTGCCGGCGGCGCCCGCACAGGCTCAGGACTCTGCAGAGAGCCCCTGCCAACCAGAAGGCTCTCACCAGGTGTGCCCCCAACCTTGGATCTCTCAGCTTTCATAACTGTAAGAGGTAAACTTTGTTTCTCATAAATCCCCCTGTTTCCGGCATTCTGCTGCAAGCAGCAGGAACGGGCCGCTCTGGCAGTGAGGCGCTGGCGTCCAAGGCTCGGTCAGGAAGGCCCACAGGCAGCCTGCTGCGGTGCCCGGTCTGCCTCTTAGAGCCGCAGCTTCTGAGCTGGAAACTGGGCCCGACGGAGCCCCTCGTGGGGTGTCTGTCGTGAGGGTGCCGGGAGGTGCGGAGGCAGAGCCGAGTGCCCGGGACGTGGGTAGGGAGCGTTCAACAAAGGATTGCTCCATCCGCCTTCCCACCACCCTCCTCCTGCCACCTCGCTCTTTTCAGGATCCAGGAGACCGTGGACGGGAAAGGGCTTTGGGTCTCGTTGGCAGCATCCCAAAGGGAGATGAGAAGCGTCGCTGGGATTGTGTCCCAGTCGCCGCGTGGGAGACGGCGGGAGAGCCGGCCCCGGCGCGGCAGGTGTGCGGCTCACTGCCCCTTTTACTGGCGCGGTGAAGACGGCAGAGGCTGCGGGGTTGCAGGTGCCTGACAGTCTGGACATTTCTCAAGAACACGCAGGGAGCAAATCAGAGACAAGGAGATCCGGGTTCTGGAAAGAGAAGGCGACACAGGAAAAGGGTGGGGTGCCGGGCCTGCCCTGGGGGTGGCCCCGAGAAGCACCGTGCAGCTCCTGCAGACTCCAGCTGTCCCCGCTGGCCCCTCCTGACCCCGTTTGGTTTCTCTAAGAGAGACACTCCGCAGAGTGCGAATTGCCCTGAGCCAGTGTCAGCTCTTCCAAGTCAGACAGGGACAGAAGGGCGTGGCGGGGCTGTCCCACGTGGGTCTGCCCCTGCCGGGGATGGCGTGCTTGGCGCCGAGCAGCCCAGCCCCAGGCCCACTTTCCGGGCAACCTGGCCTGTCTCTGGGCTGCTCCCTGTCGAGTGAAGGGCTTGCATGGAGGCCCCGTTGTTTGCACCCTTCCCCCCAAGCTGTCTCCTCAAACAGAATCTCACACAGAACCTCGGCTTAAAGAGAAAGCGAAAGCAGGGCTGGGGCGTGCAGAGCCGGGGCCCCCTGGGGTGTAGCCGTGCCTCAGCAGAGGTGGGTGTCCTGGGTCCCTGCCAGGCCTGTGCCATCTGCTGGGCACCTAGCCATCCTGGTGGCGTCACGCCCAGTGGTGTCTCAGGAGGTTTTGTGCCCAGCCCTGGCGCAGAGCGCAGCCTGTCCCACATGTGCCCGGTGACATTTGGCGTCTGCGGGGACACGCTGTCCCCAGGCAGGGCTAGAGGGAGGATCACACAGCTACGTGCTGTTGCCAAACACATCTTGGAGAAGAAGAGGAGAAAAAGCAAAACAAAGGGAGCTGCGTTCACTTCCCGGTGGCAGCAGAAAGCCTTCCCCGAAACAGCTGGGCCAAGGCGAGGCACTCGCCTGTCCCCTGAAGAAAGCATGACCCTGCCTCCCACCCGCCTCAGACACGCGTAGGGAAATAACCAACTTGGTGGCAGCTCTTCTGTTTCGCTAGGAATTAGGATGGTCTCGTGTATAGAGGAAAGTGCAAGAAAATTAATTAATCTGCACACATTGCCATGAAAATGGCATGAAGGACACAAGGAATCGGTTCCACCCCGTATTCCCTGCATGACTATGGTCAATGTCACTTTAATTGACTGGGACTTGGTTTCCCCATCTGTGAAATGGGCATATTTGATCCAGTCCACAGGGTCCTATGACTATCTGCCATGCGCCGTGTCCAGCATGTGACAAAACCAGAGCATTTCCTTCCTTCCTCCCGTAAGTCATATCGTAAGCAAGAGGCTAAGTAGCCTCAGTTTCCTTCTCTGTAAATGTGGGTGTGTGCTTCCTGACCAAGGGCCCCCAAAGGCTAATATGACCCCAAATGCCACCCTGGGCACCGTGGGTCACCATGTACACAGGAAGAAACAGACAGGGAGGGGACAGGAGAGGGGGGAATAGACACGAGAAGACATATAGGAGACATGGCGAGGAACAGAGAGGGCCAGGGAGGGCCAGACGCAGTGACACACACTGAGACAGAGAGACTGGGACAAAGGAGATGGAGAAGGACAGAAAGGGACACAAGGGGAGACCCAGAGAGAGATACCGGAGACACTCAAAAAGACAGAGACCCATGGAGAACCAGGAGAGAAAGAGAGACACACGGAGAAACAGAGATAGAGATGCAAGAAGAGATACAAAGAGAGACACACACAGAGAAACAGCAGGAGAAACACAGAAGCCCACACACATGCACACACACATGCACACACACACACATGCACACATGCACACAACGCAACTGTCACCCTGGGCCCAGGCTTGCGGTCCCAGTGCGGTGAGCGCGTGCGGCTGCACCCACGCCCTTTGCCCTGAGCCCTCCGGAGTAAGTTTCCGTTTCCCGCCACCCGAGCATCGAGCATCGTGAGCGAGAGCAGCCCCTCTCCAACGGTGCGAGGACCCCCTGCCGCCAGCTTCGAGCCCGGTCCTGCGTCCACACACCTCTCCTGCCCAAACATCCTGCGCATATTTTTTTATTTTGAAAACTTTTTTGCTTAGAGAGTTGCAAAGACATTAATAGGTTGGAGAGGTTGCATAGACCTCCCACCCAGTTTGCTCGGTGTTTACGCCTCACGGAACCAGGCTCTGGCTCCCAACACTAAGTTACCATGGTCAAAGCGCTATTAGCCAAAATGCAGACTTCATTCGGATTTCACCAGTGTTTGTTTCCCCGACACAGAGGCAGCAAACTCTTTCTGTGAAGGACCAGATGGGACGTGTTTTCGGCTTTGCGAGCCACGTGGTCTTCGCCGCAGTCACTGCAGCTGTGGCACAGAAGCAGCGAGACAATAGCGGCCGAGTGGGCGTGGCTGTGTGCAGACGAAACTATTTAAAAGGGGCGGCCGAGCGCTGGGTCTGGCCCGCAGTCTGTTGCAAGCTGGTCTCTCATCAGTGTTCTTTCCATTTCCAGATCTCGCATTGCCTTTCCTCGGCTGGCCTCAGCCTTTCCTCGGCTGGCCTCAGCCTTTCCTTGCCTTCATGACCTCAACATTTTTGGTCAGGTGTTTTGCAAAATGCTGCTTAATTTGGGTTTGATATTTTCTCACGATCAGATCGAAGTTATGCACGATTGGGAAAATTGCCGCGGGAGTGATGATGTGTCCTCAGCACGTGGTATCGGGAAGGTCACGACGGCCATGTCTTATTCCTGCTAACGTTGACCTTGGCCGTGGGTAAAGCAGCTTTCTCCATTGCCAAGTTAATATTTTCCCCTTTGCAATCGATCGATATTTGGGGGAAATACTTTGCAACTGCGCGACTCCTGTTTCTCCTTAAACTTTCTCCTCCGCGTCTTAGCAGCCGTCTGGGGAGCTGGCCTGCAGCAGCGGTTTCTGTGTGTTCAGATGGAGATTTTCTGTTCCCCCCAGTCCTACGTTCACTAAGGGGAACTCTGCTCCAGGGAAAAATGGACCCTTCTTTCCCATTTACGTATGCAATCGTTTATTTATATGGGTGTCGACCCGTAGGTATTTATTTTATTCAACAAGATAAAATCCAGTACTATAACGTACCCGGATTTGTTGCTCAGTTGTTCCCGCTTCGACTCCCGGCAGCTCCTCCAGGCTGGCTCCTGCGCGCTCCGCACTGCCCGGCCTGACTGTCCCGCTCCGCGGATGCTCTAGGCTCATCTGGTCTCTTCCCTGCTCCTGCCCAGGGCTCGGCCGCCTCCCCGAGGAGCTGCAGGCATTCTCACCCTGCTCCTCCTCCTTCCTCCACACCCTCCTCCCTCCCAGCAGCACCCACTACCTCTTTGCTTCTAGCTGGAGACCCTCCTCCCTGACACAGCCCCCCCATCCTCCGGCCCTGGCGACACCCACTCTTCCTCCCACCCCCCACCGTTCCACTGCTTGCCGGGCTGGTCCCAGTCCGATGGCACCTGTCCCACAGGCCCATGGGGCAGCATTCTCCAAGGGAGGCTTCTGAGACCCCTGCGTTCACCGCCAGGTTTCCCCTAGGCTGAGGAGCAGGCTGCTGTCCTCCTGGCCTGAGATGTCACCTCCATGAAAACCACTCAGCAGCGTAACTCGTGGGTCCACGCCACTGTGGGAAGCAGGAGCTGAGAGGCAGGCGAGGCTCCACTTCTCGGATGAAGGGGTTGCCAGACACTGGTGGTCTCAGGTGAGAGAGGTGAGCCTGTTGGCAAGAGCTCCTGGCCAGACAGAGACAGAACCAAATTCCAAGATCTCTTCACCCCTCCCTTCCTCTCTGCTCTCAGTGCCAAGGTGGCTAAGGACCATTGGTGCCGGAAGGTCCTCAAGCAAACTGTGTGTCTGTTCATTCATTCATACATTCATGCATTCATTCAACAAGCATTTGTTGAGCATCTACTATATGCCAGGCACTATTCTAGTGCTACAAGCACAGCTGTGAACAAAACAGGCAGAGACTGCTGCCTGTTCTAATGGGGGGAGACAAAGTAATAAAATATAGGGGGCATGGGGGAGCTATTCCA